GAAAAATTTCTTTGAAAAAAAGCTGTGGGGGAGTACAGGTCAATTTTGGTCAGGAAAATTTTTGCACTAAAATATATATGTATAGATGCAGTTTTTCATGCTGATTCCGAATATCATATTTATTTTGAATTTATCATTAGGTCATACCAATGCAAACCGCTAAAAATGTTCATATTCTATTGAAAAATCACAACAAAACTCTTTTGCATCAAAGTGAGACGTTTTTTCAAACATTTTTTTATCATTTTGTAGAGAATAAAAAGTTGCACAATATATATAAAATTCAGTCTGGGAACTCTTGATCCTGAAATACAACAGGAGATACACTGTTTTATTTGCACTGATCAAAATGACCACCTTTGACATATATTAGCTTTATAAAACTAGAATGATTAGAGATCATATTATATCAAAATAGCTTATTTTATTCAGCTTTTAATTCTCTATCTTCCTATTTAGACCGTGAAAATTTTCAACAATCTGTTGAAACATAAGCTGGTACATCTTTTATAGAATATTTTTTTCTTTTTTTTCCCCAAAAGGTGCGATAATGCTAAAAGTCGGTATTGACTAACTTTTCATAGGAAAGGTATTAGAAGCTAAAATTTTAGGGTTAGTAGTTTTAGTTATTGAAGTTTTGAATGAGCAAAAAAAATCGAAAAAAAAAATTTTATCGAGTGCCTCGTATATTGGAGCGATGCTCGATCAGCTCATGGAAGCTCTCTTAATTACTATATTTGATTTAAATTAATATAATAGTAAAAGATTTATTGATGTATAACATTATACTAAAACAAAAGATTTCATCTTGTATGTGAATAAATATCAAATTTTCAGTAAGATTAATACGAAAAATTGAAAATAGACTACAACAATTTCTGCCTTATATATTCTATTATGTTTTATGTGTAAGTTATCTAGTAAAAGTTTCTCAACACTTTCCTATATATTTGTTTAGATACGACTTACCTTAATATGAATATTTTATAAGAAACATTATTTGGTAGGGATATTCAATATATAAGCGTTGAAAATAACCCATTTGACAATCTAAAATTATCTATGAGTCTTCATTCTATATACTTAATTTTGTTTTATTTTACAGAGTATGTTCGAATCCAGGATGTGACAAAACCCTTTTTTTCTAAATTCTTACTTCTAAAAAGGGAGTTAAGCTCAATATCTTGAAAAATGACGCTTTAATTATAAAATCACTTTTTTATACAGTGTTTTCTCCGAAGGGGCGATTTGAATTTCCGAGGGGGCGAAAAATTATTTTCAGAGGGGGGGCAAGCCATGTATTCGTAGCACGATTATCACAAGTCTCGCCCCCCCCCCCCCCTCCGGGTACCTCCCTGGATAAAATAATGTTTTTATATAATATTAACAAAAATTACTTCAAAAAAAAGACTCTATCATACCCTATGTTTGGAAATACTCGTTTAAACTGTACACAGAGAAAATATTTTCATAAGTGCCTAATAAAAAAATCGTGTCATTGATGAAAGATCAGGCTTCAAGTTATGTTTGTCCTGCATTTATCTTAATTTTCATTTTATTTTTTTTGAGATGAAAAGTTTGTTCGTCTAGAAAATTAGAATATGAAGATCTCAGAAAAAATTTTATGATAATATTCGAAATTAGCATATACCTTTCAACGAAAAGTGATTAATCAGTTAAAAATATTCTCTCATCAGAAGAAACTGATTTATTTCATTTTCTATAAAATAGTTATTGTTTCCAATAATTTTTTTCTATATGAAAATATATATGATACGACAAAACACTTCAAGCTCTACAAAATGAATTTTTCGTTATTTATTTTTTCTTTTTGTTTTCATTCGATTTTCAGAAAATTTTCGTTTTTTTAATACATCTTCTCACAAAATATAATTTCTTCACAATTGCGAATCGTATAAGTAAGAAAAAAAAGAAATTACAAGTGATTATTTAATTTAAATATAACTAAAAAATTTTAATCGCATGAAAAATTTGTAATTTCTTCATATAATTTTCTTTAGTATTATTAGTCCGTCGAATTATGAAATTAAACGTAATTCATCCGAACGAAAAGATAGTATTAGCGATGATAGTCGAATAAATATAAATAGTAGTAACACAAGAAAAAAATCTGGTATTGATGGTCCAATAAAATTATCAACTTCGAAAAGTTAGTTAATTATTTTGATTTTTTTTTTTTTCATATATGAAAATTTGAATATATAAAGGAGAAAAAAAAGAAACAATTATTTGGGGACCAACTGGTGTTGAACCATGGAGTGCATCAATGATAACTGGTATCGATTGGAAATCATTAACTATACCAGCATCACTTCCGATAACAGTTGATGTTGCACCATCAGCTGAAGAATTACAACGTGATTATACACATAATTCATATACACTTATTCATGCTATACCACCACAAAATGAAATTGATAAAAAGAAAAAATCTATTCAAAATGGAAATATACATAATGAAAAAACAACAATGTAAGATTTATTTTTCTTTTTTTTTTCAATAGATTATTTTAATTTAATATTTAGTTGTGATAATATGGAACGTCAAAGAATAACTTTTGATGAATTAATTGATCAACGATTATCACAAGTAATAAATTAAAATGAAACTAACTATTAAATATATATATTATTTTCATTTTATTAAATATCTAAGGGTTTTCAAATGATTGTTGAAATTCCTAATCATATTTGTCAAAATATGTTTGAATCAATACGACGCGCTGGTTATAAACAAACAGAATATAATCGTTTATTAAGTATTGGTAGAATTTATCATACATTAAGTCTTGTTATAGAAGAAAATCAATCTCAAGATACTGTTGTTATTTATGTTCAACAACATAAACCACAGTTAGTAGCAAAAAAAAACAACAACAATTGTCGATGATATTTCTTCGATTGATTGATTGAATATAAGATTTTCTTTGTTTTTTTTTTCTTCAAGAAATGTTTTTCAACCAAAATCTGTTCATTATAAATATCGTTTTCAATGTCCAGATTCATCAGATTATGATCCAGCATGTTATGAATTACAACTTGAAAGTTTAGAATCATTTTCATGGAATTTAGTTGATAATGTTGTTGGAAATCATGGTACAGGTGATCATAAACTGTCAGATGTATGTATAAATAAATATATATATTAAAAAACAAAAACAAAAAAAAATATTCAGATAAATAATTGCGTTGTCTAACTAATATTTGAACTTACTTCAATAAATAATTAATAGCTATCTTTCTCTTGAACGTATCCGTATGGGTGTGGGTATATCATTTGAAGTAACGATAACGGATAATTGAAAAGCAATTTGATAAAACGTTCATTCACTTGTCAGCTTCTTAAATTTAGAAGCATAAAGAACGTGAATGGATTATTATTTTTCACTATTTATAAGAAGTTAAAGTGTTGCTTTTGTTTTTGCAATAACTTTTACATTCCCATATTCATATTCATGATTTTCTTGATGGATATGAATCAGAGACCGAAACGAGTCAAGAAAATCCGGTATCGATCCGATTCAATTTCGGTCCAAAGTCAATTCATCAAGATTTATTCTGGTTTAGGACAGTTGATCGCTAGGACACTTGCTCGTAAAAATGCTTCGAAGTAAATATTTGTATGAGATATACGAAAATATTCTTTAATCGTTCACGATATTTAAATTTTCTGGCATGTTCGCATTTTCAAAATATTTTCTTGTCG